GGGCATATACCCTTTGGTTGGGTGATGATGCAGGGAGAGGGTTGAAACCATGACAATGAAACGATATAAGATAGGATGAATGTAAAACCAATGTTCTCCCATGTAAACTATCACACAATGCACAATAAAAATTTTTTTTTAAAAGGCATAGGGAAAAACTATACAATATATAAAAATGTTAGGTCCTAGGGAAGAGTCTTACATGTTTTATTAAAATAATACTATTAAAGTTCTGGTGTAGTAGTGTGGGTTAATGCACTGGACTGTAAAGTCAGTTTGAATCACAAGGTTGGCAGTTCAAGTTCACCAGCTGCTCCGAGGAAACCCTATACAGGGTTGCTATGAGTTGGAACCTACTCAAAGGCACTTAACAACAACAACAACAACAGCAACACTGTAGTGTCTAGAAGACAAAGTAGATCTATTGACCCACCAGAAATTAATAAACTAACTCATTTGATTCAATGTGCCTACTTTTTGAAGAAAGTTACTAATTGTTTGCAAGTTGTTGATGAAGGATAGATGGATAGTTGGATGGATGGATAGAAAGATAGACTGACTGATTTGTTGCTGTTGTTGTTAAGTGCCATCAAGTCAATTTTGACTCACAGCAATTCAGTATAGAGTTTCCAAGGAGTGGCTGGTGAGTTTGAAGATTGATAGATAAAAAGACAGCTGGGCTTTAGCAGAATACTTGGGAACTATAATTGTGAGATTTTCTAAAAAAGAAGGAAAACACTGGCAGATCACAGGGATAACTATGTGAATTTTATAATTACCGACTGAAGTATTACAGCTCATGGAGCGAATGTCGCCCTGAAAGAGGGTTTGGAGAACTTTTTTCCTCAGTCAAGTTTGTATAAATAGACTGTCAAAGGCACACTGGTTGGAAATCCAGTGAAGCAGCAAACATCTTTCAAAAATACAGTTGTCTTCTCTCTGCCACATCACACTACTATCATAAACACAAACTTTTGGACAGAGAACTTCATTTGTACAAAGATGTCCACTTCTAGCTATCAGTGAACGGCCAAACCAATAAGATATATCTTTTAAGGCACCAGACAATTTGATCACAATAATTCCACACTTCTTCAGAATCATTTCCCAATGCTCTGCTCTTCCAACTTGACCATATACACTCCTAGAATCTGAACTTAAAGATATTCAGCTAACCACAAACATAGGACACTTTATGCTTTGACCATATTGTTGTTGTTAAGTGCTGTTGAATCGATTCTGACCCACAGGGACCTTGGATAGGGTTACTGAGAAACAGCTGGTGAGTTTGAACCACCAATCTTGCAGTTCAAATGACTTTGCAGTCTGACACATTAGCTCACAGTGTCACATATATTTATACATAATTTCTATCTACATAGAATTGTTGTTGTTGTCAAGTGCCATCGAGTCGGAACCGACTCATAGCGACCCCATGCACAGCAGAATGAAACAATGTCCGATCCTGGGCCAATCTCACTACCGCCGCCACACTTGACGCCATCAATGATGCCACCTGGCTGATCCATCTTGTTGGGGGTCTTCCTCTTTTTCTCTGACCCTCCACCTTACCCAGCATGACATTCTTCTCCAGCAACTGTTCTCTCCGG